TAATGAAATTGGAGATAACTATGAAAGGAAAACAGAAAGATAACAGAAAATAAATATAAATTTTTAGAAAAGAATAAGAAAATATTATTTAGAATTAAATGTATTACTAATAGTTTACTAGTGCTTGATATATTAAAGAAAAAAGCACTAGACTTGTATGATTTAAATATATATAAGAAGTGCAAAATAGAGAAAGAATCATCAAGACATATGCTCAGCTGTAAAGAATATGAAGGTTATTAAAATAATATTAAAAAGTTAGCATATTGGTGAGTATAAAAAAAGTTTAACAAATTAGACAAGAGCAAGCTTACAAGACTTAATCTAAAAAGAACATTAGTTGATAAAACTAAAATAGATAAAATTAAACATAGAGAGATATACATATATGGCTTATCAGTTAAAAGTATGTTTAAGAAGTTGTATCCTAAACAAGTTTCATGAAAAGGTGTGAAGCAAGGTATTAGATTATATATTAGGATTGTAAAAGAGATATTCAGAGAAGAAATTTGGTAATGAAGATGTAAAATAGTAATCAAATAGAAAAAAAGAAAGGGAAATAATACTGAAATTAAAACAAAAAAGAGTCAAGGCAGTTGAAAATGAAGAATGCAGTATGAAAAAAATTAAAAATAAAGAAGTATTAGTAAATAAGATTAAAGTGAATAAAAAACAAAAAAAAAAAGATAGAGTATAAACAGTTGTCTATAGAAGATGTTAATGAAATAATACAGAATAAAAATAATCCATTCTGATTCAGTTCTTAACAGAGCTGACAATATTTTCCAATCTAAGAATAGTTAGTGCAACAAGTTGTATTTAGGTACAGTTTTTGTATTTGGATAATGCTAAACTTGCAAATTTAAAAAATGGATTACTAGAAATAGATAATATTTTAGTTAGTATAATTTTATATGAAAATTCTAATAAGACTATCAAAGAAGTAAAAAAAAAAAAAAAAGATGAAAAGAATATACAAAAATTATAATTAGATTTAGTTATTGGTTTTATAAGAAAAAAAATAAAACTATTTTTTTATAACTTTAATAACTAACTTAATATAACCTTTTGGTTAGATTAATTTTTAACTAATATAATAAACTATTTCTAAATATTCATAAAAGTAGCTAAAAAATGTTAAATTAAAGTTTAAATTAACTTTGTACAAAATATATATACAAGAATTTTAATAAAAAAGCTACCAAATATAAAAAAAAAATATAATTAATTATATTAAAATTGAACTTTTTTAGATACTTTTTTATTAAAAAAGAAAAAATAATTTTTAAAAAATTTAAACTTATTTTATATTAAGATATAGTAATTTAGTAAAGTAGATAAGTTGTTAACCCCTTAAGTGATAGATTGTAAATTCAAAACTTACTAACAGTAAAAATTCAGATAATTATTTATATAATATATAAATAATATTATACCAATGACATTCTATTAATTAATTGAAATAATATATCTATAAATATAATTGCATTAACATGACTGGCAGGTCATAAGGTATTTGTGTAATCTTTGTTATACAAAAAAATGCAAACTAATACCAAGTAGTACAAACCTAAAATAAGTTCTCATAGTTATTAAATCTATAGAATTAAAAAAACTAAAATTTATTTAAAAAAACTTAGGTAAAAAAAAAATATAGATCTTCAATAATAATACTATAAAAGCTAAATTTAGAAAACAAATACTAATATAGAGAAATTGAATAGGTAAAAACCTTTAAATAAAAGATATTACTAATCAAATTGTTAAATTGAACCAGAAAAAAAAATATTAAACTAGACTTAATATATTAAAGACAGATTATAGTCTTTTTGAGTTATTTGGATTAGCAATTTAAAAACAAAGTAGAAATATATTAAAAATACTAAAAATATACTGTAAAGTAGATACTAAGATATAAGTGAACTCTATAAGAACAAATCTTTGTTAATAGTTTGTAAAATGGATAGGTAGTTAATAAGAAAAGTTCTTTAAGTCTTATTAACAAATGTTATATTTTAAAATATATAATAATCTAAAAACTAGTTCAGAAAAAAAAAATACAGTACCAACTCTCTAAGTAATAGGTTGAGTGTTTAACTTTTATCAACAATGAAAATTTGAATAATTACCTATGTAATATTCATATTATAGCAACTGTTACTAATGATTAAGTTAGAATACTTGTAATAATAATCACACTAGCATGACTGGCAGGTTATAAGATATCTGTGTAATATTAAAGTTATACATAAAAATATAAACTAATAACTGAGTAGTATAAATACTAGATACATCCTTGTGGTTATATAAATCTATTAAAATTAGGTAACAAAAAGTCTATTTGAGAAATTCTGAATAGAGAGATAGCCAGATCTTTGATAATACTACTGTAAAGACTAGCCTAAAGAAATAAATACTTAGGTTTTAGTAACCAGACAGATAAGAATCTCTGAGTTACAAGTCTCAGAAGTATCACCAACTAAGCTGTCAAAACAAATTAAAAAAAAAAGATATTAGGCCAATTTAATATACTAATAAACTAGTTATAATTCTATATAAGTTATTTGGATTAGGAGTCTAACAAAATTTAAATATATACTAAAGTATTGGAATTATGTTGTAAGGTCTAAGTGAACTCTACAAAGACACAACAATTTAATGATTAAGTCCTAATCACAAGTATTAGTTTTGCTATAATGATATCTAAATTAGCTATAAAAATAAATATAGAAGCTCTAAAAGGTTTATCTCAAGAATAAATTAGTCCTAAGGTTAAGACAATAATCTGAGCATTTGGGTATAACACAGTAAATTAACACAGATTACAAGTTTAGAAAGTTTAAAGTAGAATATCCAAGCAGAAAATTAGATATAGCAATTGATAAAGAATCTTTGATCAGACTTCTTAAATAGGTAATATAGAAAAGTTAGATATATAGCCAACTGTATATTCTCCTGTAGTGGTTTATTGAATCATATTACCAAAAAGTTATTAATAAAAGTCAAAAGACCAAAGAGATCATCTCAATACTAAAAAAAAAAAAATACAATGCTGCTCAAATGGTATACTGCTTAAGTATATATAAGAGACTTAGTGATAGTTTATAGTTAATAGAACAGATGATCAAAAGGTTTAAAATAAATAATCTTTTAATAGATTATAGATATGACATCTAGTATAAAACTTTAAGATAAACTGCTTAAATAGACAACCAAAAGTTGCATATATAATTAGTTGTATTTTCTTCTTTGTAAAAATAGTATAAACTAATTCTAATATATTAATAAAAAACTGTTATAAAGTACAGGTTTAAAAAAAAATATATAATTTTATATTTATTTATTTTGCAAATATTTAGAATTTTTATTTATTAGATTTTGTAACTATTTGGTATTTGATATATTTTAAATTTGTATTAAATTTAAAATAAATTGTTATATTTAAAATTAATATTTGTTTAAAATTACCAATTTAGACATACTAATTAAAATTAATATCTAAAATTAGATCTTTTATGCCTGCATTAGTTAGTAATTTTAGGCAGTTTCAACTTTAAGCAAATGCTAATCTTAAACATAACAATATAATCAAATCAATTTGTAAATTTATGCATAAATTTTTAAAACTTCAAATATGAAATAACAGTTAAAACACAAAATTTAATAAATATAAATGCAAAATAGTGCAATTATTTAAACATAAAGTAATTTTATAACAGTGGTACTATTTTGTTTAAAATACTATTAAAGTATAATCTTGGTTTTCTAATACGTATTAGAACACTATAGTATTAACATATATGATCTAATTAATCAAAATTGGTAAAACAAATCATATTTTGTAACATGTACTGTTAAATTATGATTTTTATTATTAAACTTTTAATAAAAAAAAAAAAAAAAAAAAATATTATGCTACATTTGTTTTACCAATCAAAATCGAGAATTAAAAATCCCTTGATAATCTATGTTACACATATACAACAGTTTCTGATAAAATGCTTTTATTTTAGTTTCGCAAAAATACACTGTAGCACGATATTTTACATTATAAATATTTGTATTTTGCAATGATTTTTTTATAAATCAAATATAATATAAAACCCCTAATACGTACTGTATTGTTGATCACTATTTATTTATGCTGTGATAATTTAATCTTAAGCTGGTTAAACATTTAATTTATGCAAAAAAAGGTTAAGAATATATTATGATCCCTAATTTAAACTAAGACAAAGTATATAGACTAAGGAATGCTTATTTATATAATCCGGAAACACTCATCGAACTTAAATACTTTAAACGGGATGGGTTATCATCAGCAGGTCCTACATAAAAAAACTCTTAGTAATTTTTTCAAGCTAAATCCTATAAAAATCAGTGTACATACGATTGATAGGAGTCCATTTGGGTTCATCTTTAAACAATCCTAGTTAAAAATGAATTAATTTTAGCAGGCAGTATTATATATAATTTTTTTAACAAATGGTATGATAATACTAACGTATAACTTTTATGTAGTCATTCGTGTCAAGAGTAAATCGATGGTAAATGCCTTCAGGCTTCATAAAGTAATTGAAAAGCAATTAAAAAGTGTGATTTATAAGGTTACACGATATGCGATAGTGTCGGGCAAAGTTCGATTTACGTGTGTCAACCATCACGTGACTAAATGGAGGCGTCAATCTTTTATAGAAGCAAACTTTTTATGAAGGGTTGAAAAACCTGACCAGTAACTTTATAGTGCATTTGCTGCTATGTAAAGATATTGGTCAATTATTTTAAATCCCTTATATAGAAAGTTTAAGCGATTCGAAAAATTGAAACACCACATAAGAATGCATCCAAAATATGAATTTGGTTTCATTTTGCATATAAATAGTCTTTTACAACACTCCTGACAATTAAAATAAGTGCTAGCAAGTGAAAACCAGAAAGTCTAAATATAAAATAAATATTATTAAATTTTCTGGCTTTCACTTGACGACACTCAAATAATCCTAATATATGCCATAAGCAATTCTCACCAAAACGATTAAATCGCCTTTACTGACAGCCAAGCGAATCCAACGATCCGCACGATCTATTTAATAGAATGTATATTAGAATGAAAATATAAATAATTCACATATAGAAAATTCATTTACCGCGAACGTCAAAGTATCCACTACCATCAACAACAAAACGAATTTCTTCATCTTCATGAAGATGCCTGTATATTTTTTGATACACGTAAGCAAACCGGTGAAAGTTTTTCAATAAAACAAAAATATAGCAATCATCATACTCTTCAAAAAATGTTTTAAGTTTACTCTCGTAAGCGTCTCCTAGACCTTCTCTTGAACAAGTAAGCTATATTATTTGTTCAGAACTAAAATTCATATCAGTCCTTTCTCTTTTTTCACAGGTTAATAAAAACCACGAACCTCATCCCGATTTTTATAGCTCCTTTTAATACATATATCGTCTATTTCACTAGGGTAGTTGTCACTCAACTGCCAGTAAAGAACTCCAAGGTTTTCAAGGTCTTCAGGAGTTACCAGTGTCAGGGGAGCTTGTTCGTGCGGCTCACGAGGATCTATGTCTCCGTTGTTATCATAATAATATGCGCGCATTTTTCGAACTTTATCGGTTGACTTGCAAAAGAAAAGTTTAGGAATGAAAGTTTGTAACAAAATGATATTATTAATTTTTGATTTTTGAGGGTGCGACAGTTGGGGGAGGGGAGGGACAGAAATCAGTTGATTTTATAGGAAGTGGGGACGGACAATTAAAAATTATTTCGATGATTCGATTGTTTTTAACACTATATACCTAAAAAGCTCTGTTATGCATATAGGAATTCTTACATAGCGTTAGGAAGAATTGCTCTCTTTTTGGTTAGAACCAGAATCCATTTTTAGCGAAAAGTGAGCAAAAATGAATGACGGATTTGAAAGCGTTTTATATTATCGTCTCTTGATCATTTAATGTTGATGGGATGTTTATGAGATACTGATGGGGATTTGATGGGATGTTTAATGGGGTGTGAAAAACTTAAACTAAAGCTACAAAACCTCTATTTTATATATTTACCTTCAATAATTTTTACAAGCGCTCGACTTTGGTCTTTGAATCGAATTTTCTACCGGGTAGATGAATTGAATTGATAATCGGTGATCGTAAAATACTATGGACCCTAGCAACATTAATATAACGATAACGATAAAAAAATTTGCTACCAACGTTAGGGTTATAATTCAAGTTTGTCCATGTTACACGAAAAATTTAAAAGTAGCTTATTTTTTGAAACTTCTATTTAGATCAAAATAAATAATTCATTACAATTACCTAACGCAGTGTTGAAAGCTGATGTTCGATTGATCGATTGCTCTGAAATTCAAGTAATGTAAAAACTTGTTTGCTAGAATTAATAAGAGAGTTGTACAGAAAGTACATTGATTATTTAAATTCGGATCTTTGATGTTGTTTCTTGGGGATCCAATTATTTCAGTTGTACAAATTTTGTGAATAGTCACAGATTAGATTAGTTACACGAAATTTGTGAATGACAAAAATAGGACCCCGGATAATACTAATAGAGGTACAAGTATTAAACCGGACAAGAAATTTTAATTGACAGAGGTTTTTTTTGCAAAATCCCGAAACGTCCCGAAATAAAATTATTAAGTTAGATAATTAAATGGCTATATATAATCGGAAATTAAAGGGTACAGGACTTAAAGCGGACAAAAGGGCTGAAAATTTACTATTAACTCTCTGTTAGTATTATCCGGGGTCCTACCAAAACCTGTGCATATCGATATTCACCTCTACTTTGCAGGCTTAGTGAATCTGATAGCGAACTATATAAGCTAAATGAAGGTGCCAATGTTATGACGCTTATCGATTGCAGTGCAGTGGTAAAACGACAACTTGTACAAAAAGTGTAGTATACTATTATCTATTTTTCATTTATTTATTTTTCTTGCGAGTTCTGTAAAACTTATTCTTTAACACGAAAATTAGAAAGTACTATATGTTTATAGTTTATAATAAAAGAGCATATGTGGATTTTAGTAGGGTCGAGACACCAAATTTTAGCATCTGCCATTGTGAACAATATGATGGACAGATTATTACGATAATGTTGGTCGTAATAAGACTTTTATGTACTAAAAAAAGAACCTATACGTGACACTTATTTAACTCGTCACACACAGGTTTTTTTCTTATAATAAACATTAAAATTGATTAAAGGTTCTTCATGACCAACTTACATATGGAGATAAGGTGGCTTAAGTTTTGCAAATTTGCACACTAAACCAACTAAATGCGAAGATATGGAAAATAAAGCTTATCTTATATTATCGGTTTAACTGTTTAAAGTAATATAAGGGAGAAAAGCTGAATATTTTCGATGATAAATTGATTGAAATTAAACGACTTTGTATCATCTGATTTGTCTCATCAGCTCAAGTCGAATGATACCAAAATCATTCGATTCTGATCAAAAAAAAAATGAGGCGAATCGGGATGCCGTGATCCGAATTGGAGGGTGCAAAAACCAGGAGAGACCTTCATCCGGAGTGCAACTCATGGTCAGACATTCGTTTAATTGGCTGATGTAAATCAATTGCCTGGGTAACTTATTTATACACTTTAAAGTATTTTTTAGGAACGTAACATTTCACTAATAAAAATTCACAAAAAAGCTATTTCTAGTTTTAAATGAACTTTAGTATTCGCCTTGCAAAAGAATCAAACTTTGCTTAGAAGAAAAAATATGTCGCCGTCTATTGGGATGTATGAAATTATGCTTTGAATAGAGGTAACTATTAATTTTGGTTACTAACCATTTACTTTGAATAGATACAAGCTTTTTTAGTAACAGAAGATTTATTAAATAGTTAAATTTAGTTAGTTCTTTAATTTGTCTAGGTTTGTTAACCATAAATTAAAATTTTGGTTTGTTTTGTAAATTTTTTAACATGTTTTAATTTATTTTTTATTTTTTATTTTTTAAAAGTGAGGTCTTGCCTCAGTTTTTTTATTGAATTTTAATATATGTAGTACATCAATAATTACATGTAGTAATATATTACTTCTAATGAAACTAAAACTTAGGTTGCTTTACTTATGATCTATACTTTGCTAAGCAGAATCAAAAACCTCACTTAGTTTATGATATTGTTAATGACAATTGAAGGAGTATTGTTCTTTTGAAATAGTGAGATCTATTTATTGATTTTGTTTATTGCTCAATTAGTTACTGCTTCTTGATTTGTTACTGTTGTATTGTCTATTTGTTCTTGAGTTTGTTTATCATTTTCTTTTTTTTTTAGTTTATTTTTTTTATTCTTTTTGTCTTTTTTGTCTCGAGTAGCTTTTGCTACTTCTTTACATCATGGTATTCATAGTACTTTGTATATATTGTTTATAATTTTGTGCAGTATATAGTATATAAAATTGTGTTTTCCTTTTGTAATCTATTACTAGTTTATTGATTTAATTTATTGTATTTTGATCAGTTATTGCTAGTATTGTTGAATTCAGGTCTGATACATTATTTGTTATTAGTTTAAATATATTTGTTAATAATTGTAGATTGGGTTTAGTAAATATCTTGTATTTTTGTAGTGTTTTTGTTACTATATTTTTAACTAATATTTGCAATTTTATGTTGTTTTTGTAACAAGTAAGCCAATAAATATTTGTTTCATATTCATTGTTGTATTTATAACAATCTTGTGTCATGTGTTCTTTAGGATATTGTTTGTATAAGTTTACTTGTATAGAAAATTCATCTAGGATAGGTTTTAATTTAAATAATTTAATCTGTGAATGTTTGGTATTTGTGCTTCATGCTATTAGACTTTTATTATAGTTTATATAGTTATAGAAGTTATTCTAATTTATATTTCCTTATATTTAATTCCATTTGGTATTTCAATTTTGTGAATATTATATTGTTATTTGTTATACATTTTGAACATGTCATATAAAATATCTTAAAGTATAGTTTATTGTTTTTTTTTCTAGCTTATTGTAAATATGTTCTTTTTTATATTTGTATATGTAATATTAGTTTGATACAGGTTTGTGTTTGTTGTGAGTTTATTTATATATTGATTATATCGTATTGACTATGTTATGTTTATTCTTGCAATCAGTGCTTTTAGTGTTAATTATCTGTTGTTATTATTTGTTTTAAATAATTGTATTATATTATAGCTTGGAGTATCTTTTACTAATTGTATTATATGTGTTGTGAATTTGTAGTTGCATTGTATATTTATATTAATACATTGTGGTAGTGCTAGAATCATGCATGATATTGCATTGTATAGTGTTTTTTGATTTGATGGTCAATCATTAATTATGTAATATAGTTGAATTTCATTATTTATCATTCACTAATATATAGTTATCATTAGTATACTATTGATATTTTCTGTCTATATACTTAGTATTATTTAAAGTTTTTTAGTTGTAAGCTATTTATTTGTTCATGCAAGTTCTATATTCTTTGTTTTGCTTTTAAGTCTAATATTGCTTTATTAATATTGTTATAGTTTGCCCTAAGAATATTAGTATTTGGTTGAATTAGTTTTAGTATTCTGTATTTGTTTTTTCTATTCTCATTATTTGTGTATATTATTTGTTTTTAGCTTTTTAGTTACTTTTTACAGTTAATTTGTATTCTAAGTATCTTAGCAGGTTGTCGTATTTTTATTTTGCATTTATTGTTCTTTGATTTTTTGTTAAAATAATTGCAGCCTAGGCATTATTGCAGTTAGTCAGAGTTATTTTGAACTCAATATTGAATATTTATATGTTTTTTGTTTATACTTGTTATTTTTTCAATCATATTGTGTTTGTATATTATCTATTTTTTCTTTTCAGGTGTAGTGTTTTGTTTAATGAATGGGTTTGGTTAAATGAACATTGTGCTGTTGTATTAAAATCAGTCTTTTGTTGTTGATATTAGTTTGTTAAACCATTTTGGTTATCTGCCTCTTGGTATTTTTTATATTATATATATCAAAGCATGCTATATTTAAGTTAAAGTTGATTTCTTTGTATTAGTTGTTTGATGTAATGCAGACTTATCTTATCTAGTGTATTTTTAATTTTGCATGCCATTAACATATGGTTTAGAATGATGTTGATTAACATGCCTGTTGTTGTTAATGGTTTTGGCCATGAATTGGCTTGATTATTGAATGCAATATTGTTTATATAACAGGTATTTATTATTTTTGTTGTTGTTGTATATGCTTCTGCTATTGAAAAGGTTTTTGAATATAATGAAAAAATTGATTTGTTTGTTGCAACTATATTCTGTAGCTGTTGTAATCATATTTTAAATGATGATATACTAAATAAAGGATGGTTAAGTAGATAACTTATTACTAATATATGTTATTGAGCTTGTATATTTTCTATTGTTTTAAGTTTGTATATTCTATAATAGTATATTGTTAAGTTAAATATACTTGATGCTAGCTTAGCCTTGTGTTTTATAATATTTGTATACTTATTTGTTATCTGTTTGCATATTGTTGTTAGCAAAATTGTATTTTGTATTTGATATATAATTCTTGTGAAAATTACAATATTTACTATATATATTGCTTGCTTATCAGTGATTCAGGTTCATTGCAGTCTCTTTAATGTACTTGTTGCTTCTTCTTTTATTATTTTTTGGTTTAATGCATATTTTTTGCTTGTTGTGTACCAACATTCAAGAAAATAAAAACTTGTTTTTGTATTAATTGATTTAATAGTTATGTTATCAAATTGTATTTTTGAACTTGTAGTTTTTGTTATTGTTGCTACTATAGATTTGTTTGAATTGACTTGTATATTTGTTAGCTGAAAGAAAGTTGTTGCAATGAAACTATTGCTTGTAGTTGTTATTTTGCTGAAGCAATTCACAGTATGTTATCCATGTATGCAAGTACTGAAAACCTCTTTTTAATTACTGACTAGTTTGGTTTTTGTATATTAATATAAGTTTTAAGTATATATCTAGTATAACTTGTTGCAATTTTTGTTATTAGGAGGCTATAATAAATTCTTTATAATAATGGAATGATTATTTCATCTTAATTTATTCTGGCATGTACTGTATAATCTTTTGTGTTTTCAAAAATTATAATTATATAGTTGGTTCTGTTTATGAATATTTTGATTATTAGTTATATTATTGCTATAGGTATTTTTATTTTTTGTAATACTATTTTAAGTAATAATATATGAACCAAATCATATGCTTTAGACATGTCCTAAAATAGTAGCCAGAGTTGGTTATTATTGCTATATGCATCTTCTAAAATATGAGTAAGCATATATATTGGTATTGATGTTAATATGTTTGATAATACTATATAGTTGTTAATGTTTAGTT